GCGGCACCAAGGGTCCAGGCAACCGGCATCACGGATGTCGCCGCCCTGCTCCCTCGCCCTGGTGACGTCACCCCTCCACTCCACGTTGATCTGGGATCCATCAAGTTGGAGCAATTTGGGTGTGTAAAGCTAAATGTGTTATCATTTCCACCACAAATCAACAGTTTCTCTGTAAATATTGGTATTTCCTCACCCCAGGAAGGCAAGAGGAGGCAAAATGGCACTGACGCATTTGATTTAAACTAATTAAAAGCAGAGGGTCATGCAATTCAATATATTGATTTTACCAGTGGGACTTAAATCTTTTATAATAAGTGTACACAGCTGCAACGCTCTCCCACCACCACGTTTTAAAGACTAATCCTCGCATGCCTCTGACAATAACATGACAGGTCTCACACATCCCTGCCCGTGCCCTAACCCCAGTGACACTGCCAGAGCGCATTGAGGCGAAGCACTGAAGCGGCCTGCCAAGAAGCCAGCGTGTCGACAGCCCCCAGCTAGGTCTGAAGAGTGAGCGCAGAAAAGTCAACGTGGCCAGCCATTTAGTGCAAAGGGCTGTCCATGTGAACTATTCAGCTGGCCACACGGATGGGCAGGCCGGGGAGGGTGGGGCTGGGGCAGTGCTGGGACTCTCCGATTCCTGCACCGGGCCAAAGATGACCTTACCCAATAGGGAAAAAAGATATTAAAGCCATCGGGGTGATCAATCAACTTAGATGGGACTCTCCCTGGAATGAAGTCATTACTCGTCTCCGAGTTCAGCGGACATGTGACATTCGCTCATATCGCAGGCATCCCCGTGGTCAGGGGACCCGACACCAGCTGCTTCGCTCAGCAGAGGCTTGATGGCCTACTATGCGATGTCAGCCCCCAAACCAGCACTCACAGAGCTGCGTCTGAGAAGCAGTTTCTTCTCTCTGTGCATCTAGACTCCTCCCTTCGCGGCCCCCACATCGCTTGCTCTCTGGGCCGCCACCCCTTCGATGGGCCACTCCACAACCGAATGACAACCCCGGGATCAAAACCAAAAATAGCCACCCAAGCTGGCATCCGGGGCTTGGCCTGAACCTGCCTTGATTCCAGAAGGGAAAAACAAAGAAGATCAAAAAAGTTCAAATCTGGGTCACAGATATCCTTTGGAGACGAGGGGTGGGGGTGGGGGGGGTGGAGAAGACCTTTGATTTACACAAGCAGGAAAATGAGGTTTAAAAGAAGTGATTTTGAAAGGGTTACTGAAAACACAGCTGTTGGTGCACTCCTATAGCGAAGGCGCTCCTCAGAAAGAAAGCAAGGAGGGAGAAAAGCCTGTGTGACATCTATATTAACCTCTGGCTGCTCACCAGCGAGGGCCGGCGCTCCAGCGCTGGAATGTGGAACAGCCCCTTCCAAATTTTAACACAAGCCAGGTTACAGCTGCGAACGCCTGCAGCCCGGCTCCCTTCGCGGAGCACCTCCCCGAAGGAAATTTTTAAACTGTAACAGAATCTTTTTCTAATACTCTACAGTGGTAGGGCCTGTTCTTAAGGGGCAAAAGGAGAGATCTTAATGCCAAACACTTGTCAACAAAAAGGATAGCCAGATGGGATAAAAGTCCCACAGCACAGCCTTCTCCCTGCTCTTCAGCTCCGTTCACAAAAGCCACTTTTAGACCCTGAGTCTAATAAGGATAGGTTTCCAACTTTCCCTTTTTTTAATTTAGCTTTGAAGATTATACAAATTCGGTTCCTTCATAACCTGGAACGGAGATAAATATGCATCACACACCCTTAATGCCAGCCGACTTCTTTGGAAGAGTCCAAAAGGAGCTGCTGGATTTCTCCAAAGAAAGCACGGTGGGGGACGATCTCCCAATTCAGCCTGCAGGATTCACAGTGCCTGGGGACAAGTCAAGAGAGGGGAGCCTGTTTTGAATTCCATTAAGAGTACACAGAGGAGTCGGGGGCTTGTTAATCCAAACCAGTTTACAAATCTCGCCATTGAACTCAAGGGGCCCAGGCAGGGAAGATGGGGGCCCCTCTGGCAGCTCCACTAGCATTACACGGGGCTTTATTGTCCAGGCTGGTCTTTGTCATAAGGTGCGGCCTGAAGTCCTCATTCTCGGCACCTGGTTTTGTCGTAAATTCTCCTCTAGTTCCCTCTCTAGTTTAGATCCTGCTCAGCCTGGCAAAAAGCTTGAATTCCGAGGAGAACGACTTATAGGAACAAAAACCAGTTTGGCTGCAGACAGAAGGAAGACTAAACGCACCAGGTCTGCAAAAGCCGTCAGAATTCAGGCAGAGATCCCCCAAGCACTGCAGGACAGCGACGGAATGCCGCGGAGGGCAGAGGGTGCGGTGGAGAAAGTCAGGCTCCCCTCGAGCTCTCCATCCACGGCCCCCAACGTCCCCCCACGTCCCCCGAATGATAACAAGTAATGGTTTGATTCGGAAAAGTGACATTTGCTCACTCAGGTAAAGTGTGAGACTAAATGCACCTCTGGAAAACTTTGTAAGTTACAGATCAATCATGATTTGCAATTCAAGGAAAAAGAGTGGGCTTTCTCAGCAAATCAGCCTCTAGACAAGTCTCCTACATACTCCCCTCCACCCCCACTGCCACCCCCAAGCTCCTCCTGCAGAGAAACTCTGGTGGCACGGGCAGGATGGCAGGGACAGGCAGTTGCTTCCTGCGCTGGTGCCGAGTAGAAATCAAAGGCCAACCTCAGAAGCACAGGCAGGAAGACTGGCCAAACTGCTGTCCAGTCTTCACCCAACTCATTACCTCGAGTTTTGGGGACAGATTGAGAAAGAAAACAAGGTCAGTGCACTCTGTTCAAAGCCACTGCGCCATCTAATTTGGAGCGATGTTCCAGAAAGCAAGACCCGAGAAAGTCAGGGCCGTCCCACAAAAGCCCAAAGCCAGCCCGACTGATTAAGAGGCTCAGACAAGCCGGGCTTTGTCCTTTCAAGATGAAAGAAATGGGTCTAACGGGGTTGAAAGGTGTGTGTAGAGCCAGAGGAAAACCACCCAGCTGTGGCCTTCTCATACAAGCCCCTGCTTGCTCCTGCCACCAAGGGGGAGCAAAGAGCCCTGCCCCAAGGTCCCCAGAGACAGCCAGTCAGCAACTTGGTCCTTCTCTGGGGTGGGGGAGCCCCAGGTCCCACGGTGCGGCTGGTCCATGAGAAGCAGGCCACTTTTCACACTGGGTTTGCAGAGCCTTCCACAGAGGCCAGAGCTTAGAAATACCTTTTTAATGACCCCAGCCAGGCGCTGAAGGCCACCACTGGGACCTGCTGCATTGACTGGGAGTCCTGGGTACCCAACAGACCCGAAGATGCCATAAATCTCCGCCAGAGAAAGGGCAGTGTTAAACCCCTCTTCAGGATGGCGACAGAGCCCTGCTTTAATTTACTTGTTTCCATGCACGTATTTAGAATTTTTCTTTAGTCTCCGGTACAGGCTATAAATACACAAGGTAAAAAAAAAACACAGATAGACAAAAGTGCTGACAATGAAAGATCAGACCCCAGCCCCCACTCCCTAAGCCCCAGCCCCAGTGCCGCCCGCCCCCTCCCCCCACCCGATAAAATCTATTTCCAGTTCACGGATGGGGACCGGACCATCCACAAGCACATAGGAAATCTCACTGACCGGCACCTTGATTTCTCCACCTCGTCCATCTCGGAGATGGTTCTAAATGATGACATATGGAGCGGCCTCGTTCTAACAGGCTGCGTAGTATAATTTAAACTTTCTTGAAGTTATTTTGGCATCTAAACCTCCCACCCTTTGCTCGCTGAAACTCATTTCACTCTTTGATTTTTGGCTATTATTAAGGACAGACAATGGCGTCCTGAGCACTCCAGGGACCTTATCTGGACCTGGAAGCATTAAGGTGGATCCCGCTTCCCCGCGCCCCCATCCACGCCCCAGGGCCCAGCGGGGGCTTCAGTATCATTATTCCTGTGTTGACACAGCGCCCGTGGGCGTGTTTGCCGTCCTGCTCCCTTCGGATTTTCGCAGCAAGTTACACATGTAGAATGAAAGCGGCTCAGGAAACAGCGCTATCGCGGCGTTTTATCTCGGAAACCAAATATTTGACCATCAGCCCTACTGCGCGCGCTGCCGGGGGTTAGTTTGAGCAAGTCTGGTCCATGTGGGGGCACAGATGGAGCGGGAGCCACTGCGCCCCCGCCGCAGCGCCAGCCTCCGGTCGCCGGGTCTGTCGCGGCTCCAGTCGGGAGCCGGGTCCCCCGGCCGCCCCCGGCGGTGAATGCTTGGAGATCCCGCGCCACCCAATCGCCAAAAGCCGCGGTTTGCGCGCCACACGTGATAAACGCTGAAAATGGATTCTGCCCGCCCGGGACCTATCATTAAATATTTAAAATAGAAAGCTCGCAATGGCAACGTTTCTTCCCCAGCTCCAGCCAGGAGAGCGGAGAGCTAGGGGGGCGCCCGGCGGCCGGGAGAGGGGCCCGAGGCGCTCCGGGCACGCAGCACGCTAAGGCGGGCGCACCGCGAGGGGACAGGTAGGGTTGCCAGGGCGGGGAAGGGGGCGCGACGCCCGCGATGCCAGTACCAGGCGGGGCTGAGAGGGACCCAGAAAGGGCGGGAAGGCAGCTTCTCCGAGCAGGGCCCTTTAAATCCAGGTAGCGCGGGCCGCGCCGGCCGGGCACAGCTCACATGACCGAGCCCCGCGCTTTGAACTGAGCCGCGGCTGGCCAGGCGCCTCCTGCCCGAGAGGTGCAGCCGCCGACTTAACCCCGAGGGGGCTTCGGAGCAGTCCTTGCCTCCCCAAATCTCCCAGAGGCCAGATGAGCCCGCCTCGCCCTACCTGGGGCGCGCACAGCTTGGGGTCCACTAGGACCTCGGGTAGGAGACCCTTGGCCAGGCACTGCAGTTTTACAAACGGCCAGGAGTGGAAAGATGGGCGGGCTGGATGTAAGAAGCGGCCCCCTCCCTGTCCCAAAGCGCCTCCCGACCGAGACGCTCACCCCCTCCCTCCTGCCCTCACTCACCAAGGTTGACGAAGCTCATGACCATGTCGGCGTCGGTGAGGAAGTGGCTATCTTGCAGGCTGGCCAGAGGGGGGCCCTGGGTACTGGAGACGGCCTTGTGGGGGTAGGAGAAGCCCTGGCCGTCGGGCCCGCCGCTCTCCTCCACCGCCATGGCATTGTACAGGTCCAGCATGAACATGGGCGCCGAGTTGTGCTTGCCCTGGAGGTGGGGGCGCGGGCGATGGGGCAAACCCAAGATGGAGAGGATCTCGCGCTGCATCTCCCGCCGCTCCTGGCTGCGGAGGCGCCGGTGGATGAAGCTCGAGTGCACCTCGTTGTCCAGGCTGAAGTCGGCCAGGGCGGAGCGCAGCAGGAACAGGGGCGCCCAGAGCGCCACAAAGCTGTGGGGCGCCGCGGTGCGCAGCGAGCGCACGTGCATCGCGCCGGATCTACGCGCGACCCGGGCTCCGGGCACCCGGCACCCGGGCCCGCGCCGCCCCAGGTGGCGGAGGGGGGCAGGCGGCGGTCCACGCCGCTCGGTCACTTGCTGCAGACGGGCCCCGCTGCGCCCGCGCCGGACATGGCCCCTCCCCGGCCGGCTGCGCTCTGCGCGGACCCCCACCGCCGGCTCAGCTCTGGCCCCGGGGCCCCTCGCCCCGCACTCGCCCGGGCGCACCGCGGGGCTTGGAAACCGGCGCGAGCGAGCGAGCGAGCGAGCAAGGAGGCGGGCGCGGGTGGGAGGAGCAGCCAGCACACCCAGGAGCCGGGAGAGCGAGCGCCGGGGAGGCAGTGAGGCGGCGCCGAGCGAGCGCGGCTTTTTCCCGCTCCTCTCGCGCTCTCGCCCTCGGGCGGCGGCGACCCACCCTCCTCCGAACTCCGGCGCCGAGAGCAGGGGCCCGGGGTCGCTCTCCCAGCTCTGCGCGCCCTTGATCGCACGAGAGGCCGCCTCGGGAGCCCCAGAGTGGTACGCGCTGGGGCCTGGGAGGAGGAGGAGGCGGAGGACGGGCTTCCAGGGGCCCCTCCCGCGCCCGCGGCCTCCCACCTGCCCTCGGCCCCGCCCTCCCCCCTGCTGCACCCAATGGGTTCATTCATTCCTTCTAGTGCGCTCCACAAATATTTACCGAGTGCCCACAGGGTGCCCAGCGCAGGGCCGGGCGCCGCGGGGATGCGGAGGCAGGAATCTGAGCCGACCCTGTCCTCTCCGGACTGCAGTCCGGATTGGGAAGGAGGCCTGAGCGGGACCCGTGGGATTCAGGCTGCGGTGGAAGAAGTGAGGGAAAGCGCAGGAATCGGAGAAGGCTTCCCTGGGGAGGTGACCCCCGGGCCCCTGTCGTCCCTCTGCCCCCGCCCTTTACTGCAGCCACGCCGACCCCTCTGCGACTGCCCAAACTTGTCGCCAGCTTGTCTTTGCACTTGCGATTCCCTCTGCCTGGAGCTCTCTCCACTCCCTTCATCCGCCCCCACCTCCATCAGTGCCTAGGTTGGCTGACCCTCCCCTCCAGGTGCCACTTCCTCCCAGAAACCTTCCCAGACCAGCAAAGCTAAGGTTGCTTCCCGCCTTAAGAAACACACTTGTTTTCTTCCTTTTAACTCCTCTCACAGTCTGAAATTACTGTTTGAGTCATCCGTGCCTTCTTTATTGTCTTGTCGTCCCCACTGGAAATGGAGTGTCCTGGGGGCCCAGGCTGGCCTCCCCACGTTGCCCCTTCAGCCGCCATGCCTTGACCCCTGGGCCTGGCAGCCACGGTGGCTGCACAATCATTATTTATTGAATGAATACATGAAATTGTGTGAGCTGGAGAGTTCCTCCCCACTCCTCCCCTTTGGGGCCCCATTTATTTCCAAGCACTTCTCGGCCTGAGACCAGACACCGCCTGCCCACCACCCTCGGACCTTCCCCATGGGGCCTGCCGGGCAGTGTCTGAGGAGCACGCAGCTGGCCTTGCAGCCAGTTCACCTCCGAGGGTCTGCGCCTGGGACCTCACCAGACAGACAGCCCCTCCTGGCATCCTTTACCCCATATCACAGAGCCCAGCTCACACGGGGGCTGGACATAGGCGCCCCAGACAACTGAGAACCTGCTGTGGGACCTTAAGTGAATTACTGCTCTTCAGAGCCTCAGTTTCTTCATCTGTGTAAATGGGAGTAAAGTAACACTTTGCCCGGAGCAGCAGTGAGGACCCTGCGATCAAGGTTGCGCCTTGCCTCCTTCCCCTCTGGGGCTGCGCCTCAGAGGCAGACCCACAAACCAGGGCTTCCCACGTGATGGGCTGCAGGCAGGATGGCCACAGGCAGTGGGGACAGGGCTTTCCTTTGGGAGGGGTCTGGCTAAGCCTCACTAAGGGCCGAGAGAAAGCGCCAAGAGCTGGTAAAGAGGTACCTGGTCTTCTGGAGTTTTCTGGAGCAGAGGTGGCTCTGCCGTGCAGCCATTTGGGGGCTTTTGGACAAGACAGCAGCCTGAGGGGCCACATGGGTGGAGAAAGGAGAGGCGAGAGGCCAGGCAAGGAGAAGAGACATGCAAGCCTGCGGGTCTCAGCCATTCGTATGGCATCCTCTGATCCTGTCCATGGGCCCCAGGCTGAGATGGAACGGGTCCTGAGCCCCTCACCCAGGGCTGGGCCTCTGCCCACCTGTCAGTCAAGGCACTCTGAAACCCCCTCCACCTGCCCTCCTCCTTCCTTCAACAAAGGCTTGCTGAGCACTTCCTGGGCAGGCTGGGCTCCATGGGCCCAGGCTCCCGTGCTCAGAAGGGCCTCATGCTTGGCTTAATGCTCTGCTGTTGCCATCTTGCAATTCTTCATAATCTATGAACAAAGGGCCTCTGTTTTCATTTTGTACTGGGCCCTACAAATTATGTGGCCCATCCCGGTGCCAAGCAGAGCGCTGGGCTGGAGTGGGCAGCAGTGCGTGAGCCCCGTGGTGGCCTCCATCCGAAGCTGGTCTTCAGGCCCGGGGGGGAGACAAAGCAGGAAGCTTGCCTACGGTTTCGGGGTGGCGGGGGGGGGGGGTGCAGTGCTTGTCCGTGCATCCCCTCAGAGAAGGATGCAGTGCGCCCAACTGCCCGAGCCAGGCGGAGAGGGGCACGCAGGAGGGTCAAGGAGAAAGACCTGGGACAGGCATTGCAGAGAGGGGGAGACTAACACAGGGACCCACTGAGGCAGTCGGAGGAGTGCTGGCTGGCCTCCAGTGTCCATCGGAGAGTGTATGACCCACATCATCTTAGCCTGTGATGAGTGACAGGAGTAAATAAACAGGGGGAGGTGGGGGGAGGTGGGAACGGGATCTCCAGGAGGGAATGCCATTGACCTGAGTCCTGGAAGGATGAGAAGGAGAGGGCTTTCCCCGGGCAAGTGCGCAGGCCCCGCAGAGCGAGCCACAGACACTGGGCTCTGTCTCCTCAGAGCTGCTGCGGCCCCAGGGCGGGCCTTCCAGGGGCAAAGCCACCGCACGGCTCGGTCACCTCAACGCCAGCTGAGATGATGCAGGTCGCTTTCTTCCAAAGTCTAAAATGCCACCAGCCTTCTCTGCTTTTCCATGCACTCTCAGATCTTTTGGGGGGATTTTAACAAGCAAGTGAGGCTGCGGGTCTGGGCAGCAGGTATCCGTGCTAGCAATTTGTGTATGAAAACAACACACTGGTCTGCGAATAGTTGTCCCCCCTCAGCCACGGGAAGGCCCTGAAGCAAGGATTGTTTACCCCTCTGAGCATCTCACCTGAGCCCGCCTGAGCCTGGCACACAGCAGGTGCTCAATAAGTACCTGTTGCATGACTAGTAAAAAGCGCAGCCAATACCTACAGAGCAGGGGCTGTAGGTAGGGCTGACTGCGCAGGCGCAGGCGCAGGCGCCGGGCTGGGCGTCTCCCGGGCTGCTCCGCCGCCTGTCCTGCTCTGGGATGCCATCTTTTCTCATGCAAGATGGAGAGAGCGCATGCTCTCCATATCCAAGAACTGGAGGAGATAAGGCTCCCTCTGAACTCCCATAAGCCCTATTTAGCCTTATCTTTCCTGTGATCCGTGCTGGGGGAGGGGATGGGCTCTTGATCTTCCCTGCTTTCTCCCCCAAAGCAGTCCCCGCCACTGCACCTGGCCTCAGCGAGGGCTGGCTCGACTGCTGAAGGAATGAATGCAAACAAACGCGCAGGCAAGACATTGCTGCCTGAGAGGACATGGGATGCTGTCTGAGAGCGGAGGCCACTGGCAGAGGTGCCGAGATTGTTTAGAGGAAGTCTTGGGTGCGAGCTGGCAGCCTGGACTCTGGAAGCCTGCCCACCTGGGTTCACACCCCAGCTCTGCCGCTTCCAGTCGGGTACCACAGGCAGAGGGGTTTGACGTCTGGGTGCCTCGGTTCGCCCATCTGTATAATGGGGGACTAACGGCGCCTGTCTCTTACAGTGCTGTGAGGATTCAGGAGCTCATTCAGTTCACGTGAAGGACTCTGCAAGGTGCCTGGGGCCCAGAGAAATGACTTGATAAATGTTAGTTGCCATCTGGATGAAAAGAAAATTATGTTACCAGGAAAGCCTCCTAAGTTTAAAAATAACAAGGCAACTTTTCACCATGGTCTGCTTTTCGGCCAAGCAGAGAAAAGCAAATTTATCCTGACTTGGAGAGATCCAGAGCAGGAGCAAGAGAGCGGGAGCCCAGCGAGCCCAGCGGGAGAGCCGTGTGAGAGAGAGGATAATCCTCGCATTCCGATCCTCTTATTGTCCCCCAGCCACCCCCCCCCCACACACACACACACCATCCAGGCCCAGGAACGGCCCTGGGGCCTATCTTGTTTCCCCAGCAGCCAGCCCCCCACCCACCCACCCCTAGTTGTGGTTCCCAAAGCCGGGGCACCCAGCTTCAGGCTCCCAGGGCCGTAATCCGATCTGCCCGTCTGCTCCACACCTGGGGCCCGCTTCACTTGGATGAAAGATGGCCTGGAAATGTGAGGGGTGTTATTGTGTCTGGCCAGCCCTGGCCGAGGGTCCGCACCCCTCGCTTGCTGGCCTCCCAGCACTGGGCAAGGAGCTTTCATTTCATACATCGTCAGTCACATCTTGCCAAAGCAGTTTTGACCAAGTCAGCATCTGTCTCGAAGGCAATAAAAAGAAGAAAAGAATTCTGCTGACACATACATTCAGCAGGAGGTAGGGACCCCATCTTCATGGGTGGAACTCTGTCCCGTCTGCCTGGGGGAGCTCAGCCGGCCTGGGGGCTGCTCCCTCTGTCCACCCACCCGGCCAAGGCCAGATGACCTGGGCCTCAGACCCCAGCAGGGAATAGGGGGCCGAGAGCCTCCTCCTGCACAGGCGTTAAACTGCTTGTGTGCAGAGCTCTGCCTGGAGAGGAAATGATTTTAGCACACCTGTAACAGAATGCTGCTTTCCATGCGAAGTTTTGCTGCACTGGAGGTACAGACTCAGACTGGCTGCGCTGGGGCTATCTTTGCACAATTTTTT